GTGCAGTTCACTGTAGACAACACCTCATGGGGATGACTGACAGACCTCATAAGCACACAGTTCATCAAATTTTGCCAACCAGTTCCATTGCTTATCACAGGCAAACCTGGTTTTCTCTCAGGCTTGCCAGTGATAAGCAACGGGATGGGCACACCAGGCCTGGAAGGTACACACACAGTGATTTAGAAGCTGCTACAGGATTCTGAGATTGGAAGTTTTTCACACTTTAAAGTTTATTAAAAACTTAGTTATGATTGGTTTTTTGGACAAATAACTTCCAGTACCTAGCTATGTCAAGATATTAAAGCATACTCTTAAACAAAACAAAACTGGAAAAAAATAAGGATAAGCTTATCATATGCTAAAAAGAGATGGAAAGAAGAAAATATGCCCTTTGAACAGGTATTGTCAGGAGACTTGGTCAAAATCACAATTCACAAAGGCATTAAAAGCAAAACAAAATGGATTGTTTAATCTCAATACAATTCTTTTATCAGAACCTGAAAATGTTTCTATTCACCCTGCCACATCTGAAAGAAGAACCATAAATGGAATCCTAGTAAGATGTGTTCACTAGAGAAAGCCAGCAAGAGAATGGCCTAACCTATCATTAATGGCTCTCCAGGTCAAATAAATATACTTCAGACTTCCACTACAACAGTACTACATCTGCATGAATGGTAAGCATGTAAGTCAGATGCAGGGGTTTCTCCTAGTACTCTGAACAACCACTTATTGAGGCTGTTTTTTCCTCAACACAAAACCAGACAAGTTGTTTTACAACACTACTGATGTTAGACAATGGAAAGACACTACCTCGTTAATCTCAAGATGTAACATGAAGACACTTTAATCCTCAGGTAGGGAATCACTAAGAAAGATAATGCTGACGGCAAACTTCTAATCAAAAGAGCTCAACAGCCAGTACAGGATTCCACTCCTCTCTCTGTTTTCCAGCCATTCAGAGAAGGATTTCGATTCCTCTACAACACACACAGTAATTGCTATGCCCGACACATGTAGCACTTAAATTTTCTTGATATTTTTCCAGCTGGAACACAGCAACTTTCTGTTAGTCTCAACTGAGCACACTGGACTTCTCTAGCAGCAGGAACTCTTTCCCCACAGAAAGCACTCACTGCTCTGCTTGCTTCCAAGGCTGCTGTTCCGTACAACACCTACCAAGCACCACACACACACTGCCTTCTAAACACACAGGCAGACTCCTGACGGGGAGCCATCAGTGGGGATGCAAAAAGCTGTATCTTTACTGCTATTCACAAGAACACAGACTGGCTGAACATCCTTTGCAGAGTCCATATTTGAATCACTTCTGCCTTTCACTCCAATATTTCCCACGAACAGGTCAGGAGACTGTTGTGTCTCAGGTACAAAATACACGGAGCAGTGTTCCTTACACCTTTTAAAATCATTCATCACCTTGTTATTAGCAAAAGAACACTTCCCAACTTAGATGACTTCCATATGGTTAAGTAAAAATGTAAACTGTATCTATACTGCACATATTACACAAAACCCAGCTATACAACTGTCCTTGCTAAATGAACCAAGATTTTGATTATATATATATATTAAAAAAGTATATTATATATACTTTTAAAAAGGTAACCACAAAAATAGTTGTTATTATCCTTTCTGGAGTTCAGAAAAAAAAACATCCACCCAAAAAAAAAAAGCCTTACTCACACAGCTATATCAGCATAATTCTCAAATGTAAAGTTACAGAAGCAAAGCTGCAGTTTAACCAGTGCACCGTGGCTTGCCTGGAGTTGGACATAATTATGATAACAATACAAAACATAACTGTTATCCTATATATGGATCCTCATAAAGCACTGTCAGGGAATAATGGGAGCTCTGTGTTTCTTAAATAGGCATTAGCACAACTGTAAATGAGGAAAATGCTGCAAGTAAACTCAACACCTGCATCAGGTGAGTAGCTGCAAACTGAGAAACACATTCCAAACATAATCAAAAATGGTTATAAAAGTTAATATTTAAGGAAGATAACATACATAGTAAGGGTAATTACATATAATTCAGTTACCTTTTACAACCTGAAGAATTGTTACGAATCAACAAAACCCAAATCCCACAGCACTTAATATTTAGACAAAATCCAACTTCCAAGAATCTACGAGTGCTGAAAGGAAAAACACTGTATTTCCAAAGCCATTTTCAAAAGTCACCATGACTTAGAAAAGCACTAGTGCTTAGAAGGTAAAATAAACAGCCTTTACTTTTATCATGGTGGTCTCCAAATACAAAGCATTGTCAACTTCCAACCTGTTACCATCTGTTTTCACAGCTTCCAGTGTGGTTTCTGTCCTCCACCAACACCCATACAAAATACAGTTAGGACACAGAACTCTTGAAGAACTGGCCCTATTACCTTCCCATTGAACAGGAGAGAAATTAATCATTAATAAGTAATCTGCTAACATTTTTCATGCCTGTTTCAAGATAACTTAGACAACACTAACTGTTCTTATTCTGCCACCTTTCCTATCAATAATTTCTCCAGCTGCATTGCAAATGAAATTAAATCCTACTTCTTCAAGGCAGAACCTATTTTTGTATTCAGTTTTTGGGCACAAAAGCTTTTAGGCACTTCATGTCTTCTAGGAGTGCATTTTTTCAACAGGTACCAGTTTTCATTTCAGAGGATCTTACTGGTCTCCACCACAGTGGCATGATGATCATAAAGGGGAGATATTTAGCATAAAGTGTCTACTTCATTCTTACAAAAATTATTTTCTTGAAAAATAAGACAACGAAACATCCAGCAAAACTCTAAAATAACATCTCCTGAGAACCAATTTTAAAACATACACCATCAAGAGCTACAAATAGTAAAATTCAGGGTGTATTACTACCAAGTCATTATGCCTAGCACCAAGTGAGAAAGACAATAAGAAACTGGAGTATTGCAGATTACTCCAACAAGCCATCATCTACATCACAGCCTTCTTTTGTCTGAGAACTTCGGCTGACCAGCTTGAATCAATACTTTAAAGCATTTTCTCATGACTACAAAGCTGTATGAAAGACAAGTAAATAGTCTGCAAAGCATTAACCAGTAAGTAAGTACTCACATTTGACACTGGAGACTGTTTTTGAAGCTGTTCACTACCAGGAATGATCTAGTGTTCCCTAGCTAAACAATTCCTAGGAATGCATGTGGCAAGGAATAAAAACATTTAAGAAAGGTGAAATACTGAAAAGAGATAGCTCTGCATAAGTATGTCCTGGTAAAAAATGCAACACTTATTAGTAGCAAGCTCCTCCAATGACACCTTGTACAACAGTTACCTACAGTTATTAAAATTTGACCCCAAAAATGTGATGAAATGCTTAATTGCTACTTATAGAAGCAATCAGTATAAAGGTACAAGAAGTTTCCAAGAGGCACCAACACATGGGACACTCAGCAAAGTTTAGGGGGCAGGTGGGAACTTGTTTCTCAATGCCTAAACACGTTACCCTTAATAAATAAAGATATCCTTAAAAATGTAGCAAATTCAAACACAGGATTCTAATGGCTGCTGAGCAAGGAATGTGTTTTCCTGGAAAGCAAGACACATTTTGAGTAATACTTTAACCAAACAAACAAACAGAAACCCCAACCACAACCAAACTCGCCAAACCCCAAACCACACCATCCGAAATCTACCAAAGGAACAGCAGTTCAAAGAACTGGGATGTTAGTCCCAAAGAGCAAAAAGAAACCCACTGCTCAAAACCAACCAACCAAAGAGAGTACAACTAGGGACAGGGTACACCACAGAGACCCCTAAAATACACATCATACAACACCTGCTGCAACGTGCAAAACCCTTACTGGCTGGGCTAGGACTAGTTCACTTAGGGAAGTAAAGATGCAGCATTTTAACGTTCCTATAAAAGGCACAAGGGGTAGGTATTTAAGGGCGGTCCATATAAAACAAACAAAGTACAGTCTATGAGGCTTGCACACCCTGAAAAAAACCTAAAATTACTCACTTGTATTCACCACTTTACAAAACAATGACACTGAAGACCTATGTCAAAACTCTTTACCTCAAACTAAAGACTATGCAAGTAATTGTTCTCAAAAACCACAGTTATAAAGATTTCTACTGTTCCTGAAACTCACTTCTCAACCTTCCAAGACCACCTCACATGAAAGGGTGTGCTGTGAAAGTGCCTAGGATGTCACAAGTGACTTCAGGTGTGAAAAACACAATTTCATCTTCTCCTGCTGCTTCAGAAACAAAGATCTTTAATTTTCTTGACTTACTTTAATAATCCATAATATTAACCAGAAGAATCTTTTTTCTACAAAAATATGGTGATCACCAATACTAGTTCAAAACTGTAGACAGAAATACAACTCTATTCAAAGTTTCCTGTGGCCTTTCTTATTAACTGCAAAACAAGCTAAAAGCTTAGTTATCATTCTTCTGAATTCCTCTAGGAGTATTACAAATCAATGCCAGATTTTTATACTAGTAGCAAACCACAGAGGACAGTGGTGTTGGCTGATAAAAATATCTTCCTCTGCCTCAAAAAAATGCTCTTCAAACCACTACATTTTTTCCAGTGCAGGAAATTCTTCTGGCTTCCAAACTGAATAATATTTACACCTTAACATCTATTCCAACCTGATAAATCAATTTTCTCTCATTACTATTATTTCGACCATACTTTAACAGGCACGTGTTTGATCTCCAAAAGGTTTGAACTTACTCTCTGTCGACAAGAAGCTACTAAAAAAAAAAAAAAAAAGCCGCAAGTTAGGACAGGTCTAGTTTCTTTAGGATAAATGACACCCCATCTGTGGGTCGCTTGGGACGCCGCCCTGCCCGAGCGCCGCGCGTCCGTCCGGCAGCGCTGCCGCCCGCGGCGGAGGGAGAGCGCCCGCCAGCAGCGCGGCACCGGGGCTGCGCCCGCGCCCCCAGCGGCGGCTCCGCTGCGGCCGCGCCCCCGTCCCGGCTCACCTCGGCGGCCGGGATGTTCACCACACCTGTCGACCTCCTCTTCTCCCTCAGCTTTCTCTTCTCGATCTGCCCCTTCCCCTTCCTGGCGCTGGGGCCCGAGCTCTTTCCCTTGGCGGCCAGCTTCTCCTCGCCCTCGGGGGAGCCCGGTGCGGCGGCGGGCTCGGCCCCGCGGCTCCCGGCGAGAGGCGGCTCCTTGGCGGGGGCGCCGCGGCCCAGGGCGGCGCTGGCGAGGCTGACGCAGTTCAGCGCCCCGCCGGCGGGGGGCGCCGCGCGCTCGGGGGGCAGGTTGCTGTTGTTGTTCAGCTCGGCGGAGGGGCCGCCCCCCGCAGGACGGGGCTCCCCCCCGCCCGGTGCGCCCGGGGCCGGCGGTGCCTGCTTCGCCCGCATCTTCTCCCGCTTGGCTTTCCATTCCTCCAGAAAGTCCGTGGTGCTACCCCCGGCGCTGCGGTAGCCGCCAGTCGCCATGTTCCCGGCGGGCTGGACGGCGAGAGCGCCCCACCAGCACCGCTGCTACCGCCCGCCCCGAAGCGGCTCTGCTGCCGCCCGGAGAGGAGAGGTCCCGGCGGGTCGGGCGGGAGAGACGGGGGCGGGAGAGTCGGGGGCGGGGAGAGAGGCTCGGAGAAGCACAAACACCCTGGAGAGAAACAAAGAGGGGATGTGAGCCGTCCCGCCGCACTGCCCATCCCCGTCCCGCCGCTTCGCGCACTCCCCGGGAAGCCCCCGGCCCCAGGGGACGGGTCTCCATCACCGCCCGCCCTCGCACGCTCGGCTCCCACGGCTCGGACCGCGGCGCCCGGCCCCGGCGCGGCGCCCCTCGCTCCCCGGGGCTCCCCTCACCCCTCGGCGCGGGGCCGCCCGGCAGTACCCGCCTCCTCCGCCCGCCCGCGGCGGCCACGACGGCCGCGCAGCGCCGTCCCTCGCCCCGGGCCATCGGGTACCATCCCCCGAAGCCGGTGCCATCCCCCCGCCGCCCGCTTGCCTGCCCGGGGAGCCGCGTTCCCGCGCCCAGCAGGGCGGGGCGAGCGCGGCCGGCGCTCACCTCCCGCCCGGCGGGGCCGCGGCTCGGGCGCTGCACAGCGCCGGCGGCACCAGGTGAGCGGCACCGCCTCCCGCCGTCCCGGAAGGAGCGGCGCTGCCCCGAGCCTTCCCGAGCTCCCTCCCCTTTCCCCATCGCGGCGCGGACACAGCCGAAGCCAGGGCGGAAACTGCCGAGATGGCCCCGACAATGGGGTGAGGGCGGGGAGGCCCCGCCCGGCCCGGTGCGTGCCGCGACCTGACCGCCACGGCTGCCGGCCCGCAGCGGTGCCCCGGCACCTGCCTCGGGCAGCGCCGGCGCGGGAGCGGACACGGACACCGACCTCGGCGCTCCCGACGAGCGGCAGGGACGGAGCGGGGATGCCCGGGCCGGGACACGCCGGCCGTGGCCGCACTCCGCTTCCCCGGCGGCTTTAACAGACGGCGGGCGGGGGCTGCCGGAGCCCCGCCAGGAGGGGCCGGAGAAGGCGGTCTGGTGTCACACCCCTCCGCGGGGGCTTCCCCAAACCCGCCCCGCACCTGCCGCGAAGGCTCGGCCGAAGGGCCCCGACGTGCGGCCGCCTCCCGCGGGGCAGGTGCCGCGCTCGGCCCTGGGGCGGGGCGGCTCCCGGCACCGCCGGCCGCTGTCACCGCCGGCCGGCCCGGAGCCGCGTGCGGAGCCCCGCGCCGCCGGCCGCGCCTGCGCTGCCATCGGGGACACGGCGGGACGGGCCGGGACGGGACGGGACGGGAGCGGCCGCTTGGCCTCAGAGCGCGGGGCCGCCGCTGCGCCCTGCGGCGGGAACGGGGCCCGGGGGGAAAGAGCCCGAGGTCAGCGGCTCCCGCAGCAGCAGAATGACTTCCTCTGGCCGCGCCGGTGCTGGGCAGGCGGCTGCTGGCCGGGTGGAAGTTCACTCCCGCGGGCGGAAGGTTGGGAAAGATCCTGTGTTTTCCTGATGTTACAAGAAGCCAGGATTCAAGGGGTTTCCGCCAGTCATGCCGCAAAGACTTGAGAGATGTCTCGTTTTATAAATAATAACAGCTCTCAGTGGGGAAACCTGACTGGGTTAAATGTTAGGAAAAACGAACGTGGAGGGACCGTGGTGGGAGCATGTGCTATCTATTGAACAGCTTGTGTAGGTGATAAGATGGGTAAACCTGCACGGAAAACTCAGCTCTGTTTTTGTTTGCCCGAACTCACTATGTCTTAGTAGCGCCCTGGAAGTTGATCGTGGTACTTTTGAAAATCATAGCTTGTGGCTTGCTTAGTCGTGCTTTATAAGTGGTATGCTGAGGGAAGGGAGCGTATCGGTACCACCTTTCCAGCTGGCTCAGGACAAGACACAAGCTTACATCAGTCAGAGGAAATCCATATCACCTGGGCTCACCTAGCTGAGAGCACATGAACATCTTTTCTCCTCTTTTCAGATTCAGTCCTGAATTTGTCCACGTAGTTAATAAAATTCAGCAGTACTTCAGAATATAAACTTTGCAAGGATTTTTGGTTTCTTTTTACAGAAAAAAAGTATATATAGGTGTTAGGGATAAAAAATATCCAGCAAAATGGAGCTCCAAGTATCTGCTGCTAGGCTCTCTGCACTATGTAAATAACAGGATTAGTCCATGTAGCCACTTGTGCCTTAAATAAGCCTCTACCTCGTTCTCTTTCACAGCAGTGGGCACAGTCTTACCCTGCCAACCTTCTGGTGATCATTCATTTACTTGGACTTTTCTCTGAACTCATATCTGATTTCTGCCCTGGTTTGGATTTAGGGGTGTTTCTGGTGTGGTGGTTGGTGTTCAAATGTTCATATATGTGGAAGTTAAGGTGCAGTTTCATTACTGCAGAGGAAATCTCTTATCTTTCAGGCCAAGGTCAAATCCCCAAACAAAACCAGCCAGTTGTTCAGTGTTGGGTTGGAAAGCTGTAAATAGGCAGAAAAAATAGATGGTAAAAACATAGTTCTGCACTAGTGCTTGTCTTCACTACTCAGCAGTACAAAATAAGTAAAGCTGGTCCCAAAAGAAGTTTTGACTAAGCACTCTCCCAAAGGAAAAAATCTTACCTGCACTCTTATCTGTAGAGTTTTAAAATTAGATGAGTACTCAATTGTATTTCTAGAAAACATAATCTAGAAAAAAGATTTCTGATAGGAGTTCTTGTCTCTCCTATCATGTAATTTTTTTTCCATTTATACAATGAAGAGCTTTTCTTGAGAGAACCATGTAACTGTAACACCCTCATTATTACACACCATGAGCAGCACAGCTGGCCAAATATTAGCAAAAAAGTCATATTAGAAAGTTGTCACTTACAGCACGTTGTGTATTTTGAGCAATATAACAATGTATTTTAGTTCTTAGGACACCCTCGTTTCTCTGCTGCCCCTTGAGCCCCTCTCTCTGTGGCAATCTGTAGCAGCTAGCAAGGCTTAGCTGTGCCTGCCCTGCTTCACATGCCATGTGCCCACCTTGCTTATGTGTAGGAGCTGACATGTCCAGGCTTTAGCTGCATCTACTTCTGCTGTTGGATTTTTTTTCTCTCTACTGTTAACAACATTGCAAGGTTTGGGGGGGGCGGGGGGGGGGGGTTGTTTGGGTTTTTTTGGTGGGGTTTTTTTTGTTGTTTTTTTGTGCCAAAAAGGCTTTGTTTGCTTTATAGTCTGTTATAAATTAACAGAAGTTATGTTGTGGTGAGTGAGGTTGGGCTTAAGTGCCCAATACAAAAATGCTGACTGTCAGATGTTTGCATCTCAGTAAGGTTGTCTGTGCTGGAGAGCTTTCAGGGATAAAGTCCCAAATAGTTTAAGTATCACGCTGCATGTTTTCCTCTGCCACAAGGGAGAACAGCTTAATAGCTCGCAAACATTTTTAGAACAACACTTTTCTCTTTTCTTGCAAAGGAAAAAAATCCTCAGGATATTCTTAAGTCCTAGAAATACAATTCATTTTATTAGCTGTGTTTTAAACTGGAGTAATGATAAGGGTCCTTAAGCCTTAAGATATTGGTTTTTATATATTCTGGAATGAGATTCTTCCCTAGAGGTAAAATTACCACCAGGATTGGGTAGGATGATCTTGGTCTCCTTTGCCAAGGAAAAAAATACTTCATTTTTTAATTTAGAGTAAAATCCATGATTCATTCTTAACATCACAAGGAAATAAAGTGCCTTTTGGGGTTGGGCACTTCAAAGCTGCCTTCTTTGTAAAGGGTTGCAAACTGCTTGAGATTTTCATAATTTCTTCTAGAGATTAAACCAAATTATCCAACCTTGTTAACATTCTGAGTTCAGGTTTATCTGAGCCATAATCTTTTCTGAAGTTGCAATTTTCAAGGGCTGGAAAATAAAATAGAAAACATAATAGCATATTAATGGCTGAGAAAATTAAGGATAACATCCAAATTCCTTCCCAATGTCTGTTTACTTGTTACCATCATGCTCTGAGCGTGGAAAACATTTGTTATATACACTCTTGTTCTGCAGTGAAACATTCCCTCCATCTCACCCTCCTCAGCATCTCTCCCCAAAGTCTGTGTTGAGTTTACTGTGTTGACCTGCCTGATTCTCAAACACACTCTTCCTTCTGCTCCAGACTTTACTTTGCCTCTCCTGTTACCTGAATTTCCATGAAACCTTTCCACTTAGTGCACCTGTCTACTGCTTCCCATACTGGATCCCCTTTGAAGTTCATTCATTCAGCATTCTTCATCTTTCTTCTCCCAGTCCAAACTTTTACAGTCACACACTTGCTCTACCTGCTTTATTGCTCACGCCTTATTAAGCATGTAATTGTTATTTTTTAGCCTGCTCTGGTGCTGTTCCACTAAACTTTCCCTCTCTGTTGCTTTCAATTTTACTGGCTGGATAACCCTCACTCACTGTACCCTAACTAACACATCTACCTGCTTATTTCTGCACTATCTGTCCAGAAATGCTGTTGCTTAAAATGGCTGTGACTCTGAAATCTTACAGCCCTCTTTTTGTAGCAACATCTCTTCTTTTTATCCATAAAATTTCAAAAACCTCTTTCAAATTTTCACATTAAATCTCTGGCTGTAACTTCTGTCTAATCTTCCTGTAAATTCCCTGCATATGTTCCATGACATTTCTAATGTCAAATCCCACCTGAAAGTAAAATAGTCCTCAAGTATATGCTCCTCTTTTTCAACCTTTTATTCCTAATGCTCTTGGGTGTTTTTGTCTAAGGCAGGTGAGCTGCTATCCCTTTCAATTTAATACCACCTTCTGCTACCTCTGAGCTATGCACACTGTTCTGAGAGGCTTAGCCTATCCTCAGGGATTCTCCATTTCCTCAACTTTTCTTGCAGAAATTGATTAAATCTTTCTCTTTTCCCCCTCACTACAGATTGGGGCCATAGTGCTAACCTTCTGGCTAGGTTTTCCTCTCTAAGGTTCTAACAACACATTATGTTCTAGTTGCTGTAGTGA